TCCGGTTACAAATCTCCACATTTATTTAATATAGCATCCAGAAAATTCCATAGAGTTAACAGTAGTGTTTTATCTTCGTTGATATTAATAAAAATAGTAATAAAGTGCCCGTTATAAAAGCAGCTGAGTGAGAGTAGTGGGGCAGCTTATCAAGCTTCACCTTAATCCCGGCAGCCGCCACCCAAACAAACAGGTGTGTTGTTGTTTTGTTGCTTATTGTTTTTATTTAACTCTCCTTATTTAAATAGCGCTATTTTAAAGAAATAATAATCTCAATAAAATGGTTAATTGTAAAACATGCAATAAATCGGTGGCACGAGAGGAGAAGAACAAATTAGCCTGTACAGTATGTACAAATATATTTCATGCTAAATGTATCAAAATTGATAGTGACTCGGAAGGCCTAAAAGAAATTAACAAAAAATGGATATGCCCCGATTGCGCTTCTGAGCCTACAATGATTGACCTATTGAAGGCCCTGACCGAGGAAGTTAAGCAGATGAAGACCAAGCTTCAGGGCATCGACGAGTTAAAGGAAATAAAAGACTGCCTCAACAAACAGTCGGAACTGTCTTTTGAAAATATGGAAAAGCTGTTAAAGATAGAAACCCTGCTGGAAGAACAGAAAAAACACGTCGAAAAATTGTCTATCGAAAACACCACCTTAAAGAAAAAAATATCGGAGCTGGAAATTCGGTTAAATTATACTGAGCAATATCAGTTAAGAAACACAGTCGAAATCCGAGGAATTCCAGAAAAGCCGGTGAGTCTGTGACTGGGACCATCCTTAGCGTCGGAGCGGGTCTGGGCATCAAGTTAAGTCCAGCCGATCTGGATCACGCAGAGAGGCTCAAACCAAAGCAGGAAGGGACTCCAGGCCCTATTATTGCTCGCTTCGTCAGGCAAACAACAAGAGATGAACTGCTGCAGCAGAGAAGAACGAAAAGAGACTTCTCTACACGCCATCTGGGCTGGGGGACAACGATTCGCACCGGGTTTACGTGAGCGAAGCAATGACCCCCGCCAATAAACATCTATACTGGCTAGTCAGACAAAAAAAGATGACGGCAAACATAAAATACCTGTGGTTCAGTGGTGACAAAATTCGATGCAGACATTCAGATGGATGTCCGGCGGTAGTTATAGGGAAAGCTAGCGACTTGGACGTTTTTATATGAATTTTGTATTTAAGTCTCCCAAAATTTGAATCAATTTTAGTCTTTCTTATCAAAAATATTTTAATTTTAATTTTTGTAAGTTACCTTCTTCATTATCGTTTTAAAGAGCTGGAATTTCATTTGACTGAATGTTTTTTCTTTATAATTTATTGTAACCAAAGCCATCTTTATATTTTTTCACATCATAAATTAATTCTTTATATTTATTTTTATTCGAGTCTATATGATTTTAACTATTTCTTTTCAAAGTTTATTTTATGCTTATATTTTCTTTTCTGTTGCAAAAATGAATATTTTGTTAAAAAAACTGTTATATCCTACTCTCCTTCCTCGATCCTTTTCCCCGCAACTCTCCTTCCCAACATCTCAGTTATGACTAATATCCTAAATTCCTGTCACGTCAATGCACAATCCCTTAATGCCCACTTTGATGAATTCCAAAAATATTTCCTCGATAATTTTTACCACACAATAGCAGTATCTGAAACCTGGCTGAAACCTTTTATTCCTTCCTCCCAAATGTCCCTCCCCAATTACTCTTTCCTATGTCATGACAGATCTGATCGCACGGGAGGTGGTGTCAGACTATATGTACATAATAGTCTCAAGGCCAAAATCCTCTTACAGTCTCCTTTTCTTGACCTCCCTCACGTTGGATATTTATTTGTTGAAATTACCTCTATTTCCTCTCCTTTACTGTATGTTGATGTCTACCGCCCTCCTCGCGTTCTATTTGACCAAATCTTTGAATCCTCCCTAGTCAACCTGGTTTAATCCTACTCCAATATCATCATCTCCGGCGATTTTAATGTAAATATGATCTCTGAATCTCCCGACAAATACTACCTCAATAACCTAATATTTTCTCTCAATCTTTATCTTGTCCCTTATTCTCCCACTCAACACACTCAGTTCTCTGAATCCTGGTTAGACCTCCATATCTCTGACTCACCGCTAAAAATCCTTTCCTCCTCTCAACACCCTGTACCCTTTCTATCATCACACGACCTGTTCCAAATCTCGTACGACCTACCCGTGAAATCATTTACTCCCAAAATAGTGTCATATCGCAATCTAAACCTCCTTTCATATGAATCCCTTCAACCTAACCTTGATTCTTCCCAATGGGAAACCATATTTTCCTATACCTCCATTGACCCTATGATATCCACCCTTACCTCAAACCTACAATCCATATTAGACATCCATGCTCCTCTGAAAACCAGAATCTTACGTCGTCCCACTGCTCCTTGGCTGACTCCTGAAATAAAGGGAATGATAAAGAGAAGGAATGCAGCAAGGCGCAAATACCGTCAAACCCGCTTACCTGCTGATTATGCGTCTTTCAAACAACTTCGTAATGCAACCCAATCCACAATCCGACTTGCTAAATCCAACTACTTTCATAATGTCCTTTCCAATGCTCCCGATCCCAAATCAAAATGGAAAATACTTCGTAATCTATCCCTACCAGATTCCAATAACCTCATTTCCCTCCCTGTGACTCCAGATGATCTTAATGACCATTTTTTATCTTTTGCTTCTAATCCTTCTCCTACTCATGATATTGAACACCACAATTTCAATCCTGAAAACTTCTTTTTTTCCCATGTGTCCTACGACGAAGTACTTTCCACTATCCTCAAATTCCACACCAATGATTATGGTCCTGACAATATTCCAGTAAAACTAATAAAATCCAACCTTCCTACCCTTATTCCAGTACTTTATCATATCTACAACTTCTCATTGCAAAATTCCACTTTTCCCTCTTCCTTGAAAACTGCACTCGTCCGACCACTGAGAACGCCTTGTCCAAAATCAACTTTCCAACTTCCTAGAAGAACGTTCCTTCATCAATCCATTCCAATCTGGCTTCCGACCCGGCTATTCAACGCAATCTGCCCTCCTTAAAATAACCCATGACCTCCAAAACTCCATTGAACATCAAAACCTTACTATCCTCATCCTTCTAGATTTTTCCAAAGCATTTGATACAGTTGACCATAACATCCTTCTTACCAAATTAGAAAATCTTCCTCTATCCAACAGTGTCCTACGTTGATTCAAATCCTTCCTTTCCGGTCGATCCCAGTATGTAGTCGTCCGAGATCAACCTCCTTCAAAAACACTTCCCCTCTCCTGTGGTGTTCCTCAGGATTCTTCCTTGTCTCCTACTCTGTTTGCTATTTACATTAATGACCTTCCCAACCAGATCCATCACTCCCAATACCACATCTATGCTGACGATTTCCATATATACCTTTCCTTCCCCCCTTCCGGGGGAGATGTGGAAAAGACCAAGGCAATCCTAATAGGCTCCAATCACCTCCTCAAAACTGTTCCTAACTTTCCAACCCTCTTGTTACATGATAATCCCATTAAATTTTATCCCTCCATCAAAAACCTTGGAATAATCTTCGATCAAACCCTTTTCTGGAAAAACCATGTGTCCAATATCTCCCGACGTACCTTTTCCAATCTAAAACACTTAAATAACCTGCGACACCTTTTTCCTTTTGAAATCCGTAGACTCCTGGTCATCTCTTTAATATTTCCGCATTTCGACTATTGCTGCACGGTATATGGGGGCGTCTCTGGGGATCTCGAGGCGAAACTAAAACGTTTGATAAATTGCTTTGTACGATTCATCTTCGGGGTCCCAAGAGACGCCCCTGTTTCCTGTTTCTATGAAGAGTTGAAGTGGCTTTATCCTTCCAACCGCCGTAAGTATTTCCTGCCATCCTTCCTCTTCCAAGTAATTCACTCCCGCCGTCCTTCATACATCGCCGAGCTCCTTCAATTTAAATCCTCTGTCCACTCCCGCAATACCCGTTCCCTGTCCTCAGATCTATATATAATGGCCCACCGAACCGCTGCTTTCGATAAATCATTTATTATTCGATCCTCTTCCCTATGGAACTCCACCCCTCCCCACATCCGTCAATCCAAAACCCTTCCTACCTTTAAATCCCAACTGTTTAATCATTTCTTATCCATCCAGTCCTCATCATAAAATTGTAAATATTTACTACTGTAAATATGTATATTAATTATTAGATCGTTCTTTATTATTTTTACTTCATGTTTATTTTCAATTTTTTATTTTTTATTATTAACTGATGTAAATTAGAAAGTAAGTTATAATTTCTCTAAATATTTTTTTATTATTTTTTTTTGTTTACTATTTAATCAAACTATACTCTTGTTTATGTATCTCTGAGGCTCCTTAGCCCACATTTTTGTCTCTCTGTATTATTCTAAAGGGACTCGTCCCAGAATAAATAACGCATTATAATTATTATTATTATTGTTTCTGAAGCCTTGGGAGTCATTTAACAACCTTTTCTCCTTTTTTTTTATCGTTCTATTTCACAGTCGCATAAGTTATATATATATATATATATATATATATATATATATATATATATATATATATATATAAATGTATTTCAGTAGTATTTCTTATCTGTTTTATATTATGTAATATGTGAATTTTATTTCATTCAACATTTCTCTAATACAGTTACTTTATTGATAGTTTAAATCAGTTATTTCAATATTTGTGTAATTATTTTTTTATTTCTTACAAGTAGGTCGGCGCCCCGGGGCATTTGCACCGATTGCTCCACCCTAAGGACGGCACTGAATACACTCAATACCGTTTCTGGTACCGTCTATGTTGTAAATACTTTTGGTCGATATGATCGAACACTTTATTCAAATGGACAAGGTATTTGACTTCAGTTTCTGTTCTATAACTTGACTTGTCAACTACTATTTGGTTCAAAATGATCACCATCTTTTTGTACACTAAATAAGCGCGTTTAGCAATGCTTAAAAAAAGTATCAACGAATAGAGGTAAATTCATTGATTATCGACTCAATTTTTAAGGTCTAAATAAATAAATAAGTATATATTTTAATCAAATCTTAATTACAGTTCGTAAACTATAGGCAAATTAAGCAAAAATCGTACAAATAAATTGCTATATATTTGTATTTATTATTAAACCAATCTAGACTAATAATAATTCTTGAACACATACTTCTTCTGAAAGGTCAGAAGTTGGCCCATTGACAAATAGTATCATATGGTCACCATACGACTCTAAGATGTTACGCAGAATATCTTCAGCATGCTTAATACCCTCATCAATCACTGCATTCTCGTTCGATTCATTATCTTGTTCCCGTTGTTCTATGTAAGCTTCACACTCTTCTGTTTCTTCCATTATAGATTGTACAATTTCCTCTTCTTCAACGATCGCTCGAGTATCTTCAGCCATTAATTAATCAATAACCGTACACCTATAATTACTCAAAACGCTCTCTGTTAAATATCCAATTTAATTGTTGTCATGCAACGACAACAATAACTTTATTTTAATTTTAGAGAAGCTTTACATATTTTTCAAAATAACTATGTAGAGTGAACAATTGAAATTCCATACATAATCTCCTTGGGCAGTTAATGTCGATTGGACCAAAAAGAGCTTTAATTTTTAAAAAAATTACTTACCCTCGTACCCTCGTACTTTTATATTATATTTTTCACCTATTTTCCGATCTTAACTATCTGTCTTAAGGATATTTATAATAGTGTTCAGAGATCACATTCACACTCTATGTACAGTAAATAAAATAAATTATACAAAAAATAATATAGATGCAATAAATAAGAATAAAATAACCTAAAAATAAATAAATAAATAAAACACATATATACCTATATACAATATTTACAATCTGGTGAGAGAACTCCATACCAGATTTGTCCCTCCAACTGTGGAGGGAAAAGCATGACTCCAGGAGATCCCTGCATTTCTCTCCCAACCGCGTCACTGGGGCTAAATCCAGTGGAGATTGAGGAAGTGTGCTTTAGCCACATACAATCATGTTGTGAGTGGAGAATCTGGCCTTTGCCAGAACTCCAATATTTACAAACTATAAAAGGTCGCGGGGCCACTGCTGCATAACTTCCTTGGAGGATTATAGGGATGGGTGGTGCTGGATAGAGATTGTGCAAAGGTGGTTGATGGGTAAGGTTCAGGTGAAATTTGGAAAATTTTGCTGGGATAAGGTCTAGGACAAATGGGATATTAACGTCATGGTGTAGGGTTTCGTTGGTTACATATAAAGGAGCATCGACTATTGTTCGAATGACTTTGGATTAGAAGGATTGGAGGCGTTTGTTGTTAGAAAATTTTGCTGTTCCCCACAGTCCAAGTAGATTTGTCTTGTTTTAGTAGATTTTATTTTCAATGGAGAGTTTAGATTTTCTATTTACTAGTATGTATAGTTGGCCGTATCGTCGGTTAAGTTCCTGTCTTTTAAGTCTAGTATGAGGGTTCCATGTTAGTCGTCTGTCTAAGAAAAAGCCAAGGAGAGGTGTCTTTAAAGGTATCAGGATCTGAGGCGGACGATAGAATGGCGGTGTAATCAGCAAAAGTTGAAAATTCATTGCAGCAGCGAACAGGTAGGAGGAAAAGGTATAAGGAGGAAAAGGTATATGGACTGAGGAAGATGGGTTTTAAGTTTGAAAAGAAGCCCGGTGTGCCATACCCGGTCAAAAGCTTGAGCTATATCCAGAAATAGACCCGAGCAATATTGCTTGCTTTCCAGGGCTGCGGAAATATGATCGACCTCTCGAAGTCCTTGTTGGACAGTGGAGTGTTGGGAACGGAATCCGAACTGGTGTGAAAAAAGATTTTGAGATTCTATAAAGAGTAGGATTCATTTCAGGAGTATCTTTTCAAGGATTGGAAGTAGGATTATGGGTCTGTAGGAAGTTAAGCTGTTGGGAGGTTTGCCTGATTTTGGGAATAGGATAATAGTAGAATGTTTCCATAAAAGAGGAAAGTGGATGGTTCGTAGGATGCTATTGTATATATATGTAAGGAATATGACAGCTTTAGGAGGGAGTTGTCTAAGGATCTGAGAGGTGAGGAGGTCGTATCCAGGTGATTTGCGGGTAGCTAGTTTTTGTAAGTGGTATTTGACCTCAGAAGGATTAACTGCTTTAGGCGGTAAGGAGAGTGGGATGGGTGAATTAAGGAATTCCTCTACTGCTGACTTGTGTGTGGGGTTGGATTCCGGAAGAGGTGAATGTAAGGGAAAGGTGTTTGGCGAATTCCTCGGCTCTATATTCGGCAGACGCTGCCCAAAACCCATCACCTTGACAGAGAGGATGTGATATATGATGGGGTTTAAGGATTTGTTTAGTGATCTCCCATAGAGAATTGTCCTGAGAAGAGAGGGAAGTAAGGTAGGAGTTGAAGGATTGGGGTCTGAAGGTGGCTAACTCTAGCTTTAATTTTTTGCAAAAATAATTATAGGATTGACGATCGGTGGGGTGTCTAGTACGTTGCCATAATAATCTGGCGCGGCGTTTGATATGGATTAGATCTATGGATTTTTTAGTTAACTTATTTTTCTTGAGTGTTCTTGAGGAGTGGTTTGGAGAGGAAGCAGTCCAGATTGCTTGTTGGATAGTGTTGGTAAAAAACTATAGGGCATTGTCAATAATGTTTCCTAAATGCAAGACCAACGCAAGACTTGGCTAGTCTTGGTCTTGGTCTTGCAGTGTTCACACCTGGTCTTGGGCTTGCACACTCAGCGTTGGTCTAGGTCTTGCAGCAAGAGCCTCGCAAGTCTTGCAGGTCTTGCAATTACCTATTAGCCTATTGCTATTTATTGAAATCGTTAGTTTATGTCCCAGATCAACACAAAAGAATAGATACATTGAAGCCTATCTTTTGACCTAGACATAGCAAAGTTCAACCAAATTTACTTGAATATTAGTGTTGCCCAAACGCAAGACCAAGATAATACCGAGGCGGTTTTGACCTTGGTCTTGCGTCAACAAACGTTGGTCGCAAGAGTCTTGCACTTACCTATCAGTTTATTACTATTTATTAATTATGTTATTTTAAATCTTCGAAAAACGCTAAAAAAATAAGTACATTTAGATGTTTTATTAACGTAAACATTGTATAGTCCAACTAAATCAATAAAATTAAGAATTAAGAAAGATAGTGATAACCCTCCTCCATCCCTCCGATTATATGGAATGGAAGAGTTGTAGAGTATAGACAATTTATATATTGTTACTAATGATTTTAATGAAAAATCAACTATGTCCACTTACATGACTTTCCTATCTATTTAAAAAATACAACTTTAAATGTGTCCATTAGAAAAAAACAAACAATTGAATTTGATTCATTTTCCTAAAATCCAATCAGTGAAATCATTTGAGTACGAATTCTTGGATAAACCAAGCAATGTAAGCGGTCAAGTGAACCACCATTAAAATCAGCTTATAAAAGACAATATACTGTAACTTTGCTAAAATTGGTCCGATTTAATTGATTTTTGACAATTTTGTCAGAAATTTAATGATCTTTCAAATACTAGACTTCAAAACAGACTCAGAAACGTTTATATCGCTTGAAAACTGATAAAATGTATACGTGGTAAGTTAGCTCCCCAAAACAATTTTCTTTTCTTCATATTCTTTCATTTTCTCATGAATTACTTTGGGGATTCACTAAATATACAAAAATATTATTTTGGATACTTAGATATTATGAACAAGCGCCGCGCGTCCTTCACATTCTTTAGTTTTCTATTTAGATTTTGATTGAAAACTTTCTCCATAACGGACTGCACACAGTGGTACTAAATGGACATGACACTTCTTCTCTGGATTAAAACTACCAATATACAATCAGGTTTAAGATATCCAGCCAGGGCCAGATTTTCTCGTTGTTCAATTGTACGTAGTTAAAGTATTGAAAAATATGTACAATAGATCTACATATACTAATTACAATACTGAACTACAATACTGAATTTGGCTAATCAATAATTTCGGGTTTCACAGAATTGTTATAAAAATATTGTTGATGTCCACTAAAATAATTTTCCTTTTTTTAAAGGACAGGCATACGCGTCGATTGAGCAAAAAAAAAAAATAAATAAATAAATAACCACATTTAGTTTGCTCATCGGGAACCATTTCACATTGTAGGTAATTTTGGAAGTTCCATGGTAATTCTGTGTATTCCCATGCACATGATAATTCTACAGCAAATATTTCGATTCCATCCATTCTTTGAAAATTGTTCGAAAACATTTATTGAGATGTCTATATCAATAATTAACAAACAATAGTTGCCACCATTGACTTGAGGATCTTTGCAATTAATATTTGTCGAAGTTTCTCAAAACCTGTTACGCGGAGGTAAACATGATAATAACCAGAGGTGCCCACAGAGGGGTTATATGCCATCAGATTTGTTTGGGACAAATTAAGTTTTCAATTTTAAGGGAACATTTAAACCAGGAAACAAAGAAAAAAAAAAACGTACTGAGGTTAGCGTGTATATAAAAAAATATCTAAGGGCGCCGCATACTTGGAAAAGCGGCAGATATGATTTTATTCTAAGTACTCAACACAAGCAGGGCATTGTCTTCCGTATATCCAGTTTCAGCATTAACTCAATGGGCGCCGCTTGTTTGAAACAGCGGCATCTTCATTGTATTGTATTGTGTGTTTATAATAAATACATACTATTGTCTTTGGTTATAAGACACAGAAACAAATTTAAAATAATGTAGCAACAAAACAATAACTTATGAAGTGTTATCTAATATAAAATAAACTAATTAGGAAATAAAAACTAATTTCTCTATCTTCAAATTGATTGCCTCCCCCCCCCTATTTTGAAATAATGTATCCCCTTTTGACAACCCTCTCGCAATTATTTAAGATGAAATTCTCATTTAAAAGGAAAAATATTTTAAAACAAAATAATAATGAATTCCTTGCATGGGCATACGCAGAGGAGGGCAGGCTTTGCCTCCACTAAATATTACTGATGTTACTTGTTGATTGTAATTGCATCATGTATTGTGCCTTTAATATTCTCGAGAAACAAACCAATATTATATCTACATTCTTTTAAACTAACTTATTGATGATATCACATCACATATAGATACATATTAATTATATAAGTGAGATGGGCAATAATATTTTGTTTTTGGGGGGAGGGCATACTTAATCGGCCTTGGAGAGATGGGCACTCCTGATAATAACTATCATGACCAGATTAACAATAAACGTTAATGTAGCTCTGTGTCATACGTTATATATCAAATAAAATAAATAAGGAAAGATAACAAATCGGTAGGATGTACAGCAAAAACAATTATCAATTATAAGAATGAAGAACTATAAGGAAAATGAAGAACAATTCATGGACGATAATTAACCGATACG